AGAAGAAGAAGAAGAAGAAGAGGACGATTATAGGGGTTGTGTTGGAGTTCAGGTGCTCGCCGGAGTTTTGGTGTTCGTCGGATGTCTTGGTTTTGGATGAAACTCACACTTCCTGTTATGATTTCCGGTGAAAAAATAACATTCCCCTGTAAAGAAGTCTCCTACGTTTTCGGCGAAAATGGTGGGCGTCGGAGGTGGTTTCAGGCGAAACGGCAGCCACCGATGGTGGTTCTGGACAAAAGAGGGTTGCACCGGTTATGGAGGTGGAGTTGGTGATGAATGGGTTTTATGATAAAGATGGAAGAGTAGTGGGTTATATATTTATTTATTTATTTATTTTGTTTTAAGATGAATATATATATATATATATATATATATATATATATATATATATATATATATATATATATATATATATAAATCAAACTAATTAAAGTATTACAAAAAATAGAAAAAATAAATTATAAGGGTATAAAAGTAATTTCAAGTGTATAGGGGACCAAAATCACTAAAAATATTCAAAATTGGACCACTGGTGCACCACCAAACTTTTTTGGACCAAAACTGTATAATTTTGACAACCACAGGGACCATTTTTGCAATTTTGTCTAATACTTTTAAACGATAATTTAAGGCATTCCAAGACATGTAATTGATTGATTTTGTAAGTTTGTTTATGTGTTATATTGTTGTCTCGACATACTAAGACATGTAATTAACATTTTCACTTGCTATAACATGAAAAAACATCACATCAAGAACTATTATAATTACATCCGTTTTCTAATGTAATTATTTTTTTGTTATTAAAAATGATAAATCTTGTTTCGATTGAAGGCAACGTTTACAGTTTTAGCAGGATATATGTCAGGCCTTTATAAGATATATACCATTTGAATTAGAAAACAGTTAAAAGAAACATCAAAACTTTTTATCATTGAGTTAAATAAAAAGCCATATTTTCTATTCAAAATGAAAATTGAATATTTTCTATCCTAAGAAACACAATCAAAATATAACATGTAACTAATTATATTAAAAAAAAAAAAAAAAAAACATGTGCATCAAACTTTAATAAAGTAACAAATTATAATTAATATATTATAAAATTATTAATATAAAAAAAGTTTAATAAATTTATAATAAATAGTGCTAGACAAACACCTTATCTTTATCGTTAATGTTATAAATAGACCACGAATTATTTGTCTTTTTTTTTTTTTTTTTTTTGAAACGGCAAATCCAACCTACTCCTAAACTACACCTTAAATCCGTCTATGTCCACAACGGGACTTGAACCCTCAACCTCAAGGAGGGAGAACAACACCGAATACCACTGGGCTAGAAACCATTTGGTAATTATTTGTCTATGTACCACACAATTGTTTAAAAAAAATAGAGTTAGAAGACTAGCAACTTCAATATTTTGTTAATTGGGTATCACTAAAATAAAGAATTCTGTGTCTACCAATTAAATTTTTTTCTAAATTAAAACAATAACGTATTTATAATAAAAAAGCAAAAAGTTTATTACACTCTTAATTACAATATTAACCCTTTTATATATAAATATAGATATAAATTATCATCATGAGAAACAGAATTTCAAAGTCTTGACCATCTTATTCTTAAAAAAATAACTATCGTTTCAAATCAAGATATTAGAAATTGATCTAACCTATCACGGATATGGTTCCTTTGTCAATTTCATATTATTGTGTTAGTAAGATACAAGTTTAAATCCAAACCCAAGAAAAACAATGTCCATCCAAATTGAGCTAGGCCCATTTATAGAAACAAAAGAAAAGGAACCCACTACGTGTATATTACACCCAGATTAAAAGAACAAATATACCAATACATGGATTTTTTTTTTTAAATGAATAACAAATAATTAAATAAAGCAGAAGGAAAATAATACCAATACATCATTATATCTACACTTTTTCGTTATTTTTTTTTCGCAAAGGAATTTATTACATCTTCGACGTGGTCTGTTTCTATCTTTCTAATAAAAAAAAAGTTTTTAGAGAGATTTCTTTCAACAGTCACACAATTACCAAGAGGAAATATGACAATCTTCCCATTTTATCTATCTATTTTTATGGTGGAAAGGAATATTGTTGAAATTTGTTTAAGCGTTATTACAATAAGCAAAATTAGTGGTGATATATAGTTTGATGTCATATATTGAAAAAATGTTTTAGAAAATATTAGTAATTATACAATTATTAAAATATATCAATATATAAGACGACGTAGTTGCATATAATTGTAAGAACTTTAAATATTTTTTTTAATTATACGACTCGACCCGATTCAAACCCGCAACTAATAATTTTTTGTTTATTTTCTTTAATAATCGGTTTAACTTAAATAGTGAATTATATGGTTTTACGTTCTAAACTCGTCACTGGTGACTGACATTATAGGGGTGTTGATTGGGTAAAAATTTTGGATTTCGGGTAATTCGGGTTTTTCATATAAAAAAATTACCCGTTACCCTACCCAAATTAAATTCGGGTAATTCGGGTTTGGGTAATTCGGGTAATGGGTCGGATAAGGGTAATTCGGGTATTACCCCCTTTTTTTTTTTTTTAAGTTTTTAAGTTTTTTAATTTTTTAATGGCACTTAACATTCACCCCTGGATTTTTTTTCAAATCTCTAGGAATCACTCAATATCTCCTTTTTCCCTAAATCAAAATTCACCTCTAATGCTAACTTTAACCTTACTGAAGATTCCAGAGATAGAAACAGAATCTCCAAAAAAAAGAAAAAAAGGATTAACTAAAAATGTATTAAACAAAATCGCTGGAAAATCCCAAGGAGATATTGAGCCTTTTAGAAAAGGTCCAGAAGGCTTAACAACTTATTCCTCTCATTTACTTCATCTTTTCTCTGTTGTTTATGCACACCTGTTGCTTGTTCTTGATGACATAGAGTTCTATGAAAAACAGGTAATACTAAATTACCAATATGTTAGTTTGTATTTATAAATTTGGTATTTGTGGTGTAGGTTCTATTTACATCAATGTTGAATACATTAGTGTATAATGCATTGTCTTATAACATCATGGAGAATAATCGTCCATTAATCGATGCTTGTGTTAGATGTCTACATTTGTTATATGAAAGAGATTGTAGACACGAGTTTTGTCCCCATGAACTTTGGCTTTCTCCATCTAAAAAAATTGTCCACTAATTATTCTTTCTCCCATGTTTTTGTACAGAAGCTTCTAGGTCGATACAGCTTCAAGTAAAGGGATGAAATTACGAAATTTAACTGTAAAATAAAAGAAATTGGTAGTTATCACTTACATTCAAGCCAAGTTTGAACTTCCAACTTTGATTTCCAAATATCTTGGAGGTGACGACTGGCGAGGATGTCTGCGACGCTATGACGAGCGACTGGTGATGACCAAGACCGGTGACGAGGCGGGGACGACAGGGGAGGAAGCGAGGTCGACCGGCTGCTGTCTGGAGTTGATCGGTGATGAACGAAGATGCTATGCGACTTGCGAGGGTTTTTGACGAGAAAATAGAACGAGGGAGGCAAGGAGCTCGGACTTGGAGTTTTGGTTTTTTGGAATCGGATAATTAACTCATATAAGAGTAATAAATATTGGGCCATCTTTACTTGTTTAATAAATTTTCGGGTAATCGGTTATACCCGAAACCCCAAACACCTACCCTTTACCCGACCCCAAAAAAAATCGGGTTACCCAAATACCCGAAAACATTTACCCGATACCCGAAAAAATCTGACGGGTAATTCGGATAACGGGTATTTTCAACAGGGCTAGCTGACAACTTATCACATGACCATGAACGCCTGTCGTGAGGTCCATGACCCATGGCCTAATGGTCTGGTTTAAGTGTGGTGGTGATAAGATGTTGATGCAATACCATTTTTGATTTTTGATGTGACGGTGTTGTAGATATACCTAATCTACCCTAATAAATGAAAATGTTATTGCCACTTGTCATTCTCTCATTTATTTGACCACATGTCATTTTGTCATAATTTTAAAATATATTTATTTTCCACTTGTTAATTACTTCATTATTCATTTCCAGTATATCATTAATTTAATTTCCATAAATTAAACCTACTATAATAACTATTAATTTCAAATTTCAAATTTCAATTTCAATTTCAATTTCAAATAAATTGACACTTTAAACATTTGTATTTAACATTTTATTATAATAAATTATTTAGTACACGGGTCTAACAATTAAACACATAATTTTAATTAATTTATTTTTTGTATGTTTTTTTTTCATAATTGTCACTAATTTTATATTTCAAATTCAAATAAAATTTTCATTTAATCGTTCCTGTTTAACATTATGTTTTAATTAACCCGTATAATATACCGGTTTCACAACTGGTGATCTAATATAGTTATATAGACGAAGGATGTTGCAATTTGTTTCTAGGAGGTTGAAGGATACAACGACACTATCGTCGCTAAAGTACATGCCCAAACAAAGATTGTCCAAAAATATTAACAAAATAACCATAAATAAAAATATTAGCTAAAAAACATCATTTTAAACATATGTCAATTCTATAAAAATAAGTGTAATTTATTATTATTATTATTATTATTATTATTATTATTATTATTATTATTATTATTATTATTATTTTGGATTAACCATCGAAATAATATATTTTTTTTTTCTGATTTACCCAAATTTTAGTATTTATTTCTCCAAAATCTACCCTAAAAGGTTTCCAGTTATCATATTTTTTTATTCAACACCCAAACACCTTTTTTTAACCACAAAATGGTTTCCAAAATTCCAGTCAACGGAATTGGGAGGCAAAAGTTTCCGACGACTTATCGTCAAAATGTTTTAGAAAAGCTTTAACGGTGCTCTGATGCCGGTATAGACTGTTAGTTGTCTTGAAATTAAAGTTATTTTCTTTTGTAGTGACAACCAGTTAGTGGTCTTTAACCTTAAAGTTAGGGAAGACGAGACATTGAAACCCTATATCAACATATATACATATTTTTTCTCATAATTAAGAGAATTAAAGTGGTTGTGCAACGAAAGCGTGGAAACAATCAAATAAACTATGACTAAAGGACTATTTGCCTTCGAAATATACATGGAATCATCAACTTAATTTGCATAAGCAATCGTGACTAGTTGCATGATGAAGGTATCTTAATATTTTCTTATAATTAATCAAACCCATAAACCAGAAGTTGAAATCATCAATCGTTACTATCTCCGCGCAGTTGTTCCATGTTCTCTTCATGTTCACGCTCTCTTCAACTCCTTTAATTTTTCCTAGTGGGATAGAAACCTACAAAGAACAATTTAAAGGTCATGAAATAATTCAAAATCTGAGAATTGCATGCATGAGACTAGAGGAAATTAAGTACTTCCGATCGAATTCCCTCCTACATACCTTATATTGGAACTTTACGAGTTCGCCTGTCCTAGAAACCGTTATGATGGGCCTATCACTGCAAAAAGCAACCCTTTCTGTAGACACAAACAGCACACCTGCAATGGCACCTGCTGTAGTGTACAAACAGCATTGAGAAGCCTGCAACAGTTTCTCTTCTTCTTTGATGCTGAAGCGCTTCCTAAATAGTTTGCGTTGGCTCCCAAATCGGAAGATTTTGGCACCATGATTCAACTTGTCTTTCATGATTTCAATTAGTTTGGGTCCTAAACTAACTGCATACAAGAAAATAATGATATTTAATGATTCATAGATAGAGAGAACTTGATCAGTTGTTTATTATTACAAGTTTAGAGAAATAAACTTTACCATAATCTTTAATCCAGACTGCAAAACTGTCTTTTCTCTCTATGCCATTGATCTTAGAAGAAGTAGTAGAAAGAGGGCAATGGGGTTGATAAGGTTCAGTTGATAGTAGTCCCTTTGTTGATGATCTAATTGGAATTCCCATAACATGTTGTAAGAATCTCGGATCCATATTTTGATGGATTGCTTTGGTTGCCTTTCTGGTCTGGAAGAACTTATATATTCAGAAATAGTTATATCTGAATTAGCTAATTAATGCTAAGTTGTTTGGTAATGTGTTTTGAATAATTCATGGTGATATTTATAGGCATATAAAGATGGCAAGAAGTAACATATTTTTTAGTTGGGTGAGTGTCATCTATGTCTCATCGTTACTGCAGGTGATTAGAAGTGAGCAAATTAAAAGAATAGAATAAAGTAAGATTGGGTGAATTCTATGATTGAATTGACTTGTGTGCTCAACTGAGAATAGAAAAGTTGGTGGTTTCGCTTTTGTTGGTTGGGGAAGGGGAGGCTGATTTTCCTTCAATTCGTGATGTCGACACTTTCCAAGTCATCTCTATATATTAATTAGTTGGTTGTAAATTCATGTTGATGTAAAGCAGATTGTAGTCTTCCTGCCGACAAGTCACATGGAAATTATATAGCTAACCAGGCTAAGGAACCTGAAATGGAAATGCTAATTAAGAGTAGTACTACTCATGTCTTTATCTTTGATATATCAAAATGATCTGTAAAGTGGTGGCAGAGAAGCTTTGTTATCTTTTAATTTCCATTGTGGTTGTATTCATCAGATCTTGGAACACGTTTTCCACTGTTTGCAGAATCACAAATAGCCCAACCCATGTCACTATCAAAAGATATTAGATATGATGCCATATATATATATATATATATATATATATATATATATATATATATATATATATATATATATATATATATATATATATATATATATATACTGCTGTCAGTGTCGATGAAGTATCACTTTTATATGTTATACAATTCCTTTTGACCTAGATATTTATTTTCTGTTTAAAATATTAACATTAACTCAAATTGATATTTACCTTTCCATCATTTTTGGGATTGAACAAAAGAGTCAGTCTTTTAGTTTGTATAGTTGGACTATTGGATGGAAACCACCATTACTACCTTGACACACAAAAGAAATATAATTCGTTATGAGTTGCTCAACACACCAGCCATGCAAGCCCCTAAGGCTACTCGGTGTGGGTGCGGTTTGGAACCGTGTTGCTGCCATGTGGAACGCAAACACCGCCCCAGGGCACGGTTTCGTGCGGCCATAGAAGACCGCGTCCTCTGATTGGTTGCTGCAATTTCCTTTTGACCATTGAAAGATTCGTGTAATTTTTTTTAACCATTACTCCATATATATATCCTTAGGTACCCAAACTCACCATACTACATCGTTTTGTATCATATATATATATATATATATATATATATATATATATATATATATATATATATATATATATATATATTGTAATTGTCTAATGTTCTTATAATTCAACTTCTAACTTAATTTCATTCAAATTTTTTTTTATAAATTTCACATTTATTTTCCTCTTACATAATTTTCATTTTCAACTGTAATATATATAGCCTAATTGATGTTCGTCAAAAAGATGTGATGTAAGAGGAAGATAATAATGAAATTTTGAAAATCTTTAAAGTAAATCAAGTTAAGGATTGAAGTTGAAGAACATTATAATAAATATATAAAACAAAACGATGTATTATAGTGAGTTTGGGTACCTAAGCTTATATACCTTAAGGGTATATTCACTTTTCTCTCTCTCTCTCTCTCTCTATATATATATATATATATATATATATATATATATATATATATATATATATATGTTACCATTTTAACATTTACACCACCTTCACTCCACCTTTAAACAAATATATACACAATCTTTTCATCCATTTTTTTTTTGAAAAAATGTCTTCTACCAAAAGGCTTAGTAAAGAAAAAACACCAATCATAAACACCAACACCCCAATACTTTCATTTGATCAATCGATTTTCTCACCTCCGTTTTACCACTACGGCGGAATGCTTCCATATTTTCCACAACGACCAACGCAACCACTACCACAAACACCACCACTACCACAACCTGACCCAGATTTTAATTCATTTGATTTTTTGTCTCAACCCGAGTTTGTTCAACAAACACAAACACAACCAGAAACGGTCGTTTCTGATTCTGAACCAGAATTCCTTACAGAAAATCAGCCCACTCGAGCATCAACTAAAAGAAAAGAGAAGACGGAGGCTGGATGTTGGGAACCTTTGGAAGCATTAGTGTTGGCACAATCTTGGATCGATATTTCAGAAGATGCTAGTGTTAGAAAAGACCAAAAGCATGATCGCTTTTGGATTCACGTTTTACACAGGTTCTACAAAGGAAAGAATCGTGGAGAATACCGTACAAAACATCAAGTGTACTCCAAATGGGGGAAGATGAACAAAGAATTCATGTTGTTTAATGACTTGTGGAACAACATGAAACGTCAATGGAAACGTGAAGAAAGTGACGACATTTCTGGTGGTATTTGCGGGTATATCACATTCAGGATCCAATAGAATTTTAATTGACTGTGGTGAGGTAGCTCTTGACAATGCTACATATAGTTGCCCATGCGTGAAAACAGATTGTGGTAAATATAACCCAACTTTCTTTAGAGGTTGTCCCTGGCTTTTGTTAATGGTCATTGCGTAACATACTTTGACTGGAAATTGTTTTCGGGTGAAAATGAAAGGCAAATCGGAAGTGTTGTGTACAAATTTGATTCTTGGAATATACACCCGCTTTCCTACAGAAGTTCCTGTTATAATAAAGGCCTCAATAACGGATGGTAATAATTGGGAGACAATTAGGCCCCGTTTGATATGCGTCTGACCGAGTCAAGTCAGACGTTTTTGGCTGACTCGGTCAGCAAAATGTGTTTGATTATCCAACTTTGGCCATCTGACTCGGTAAGAAGTGTCTGAGAAAGGAGTTGGGAGGAGGCTGACTGAGAAAGAAAGTAAGACTTTACAATAATACCCTTGGCCTTGGATAAAAACAAGTGAAACAAGAGGTTACAAGAATTGAACTCGGGTCCCCCTTATAAATATAATGATGTTTACCAGCAAGCTAAAGGGTTTTTTGTGTTTTAATCTCTAAAATAATATATTTAATGTCTATTATGCTGGAAGTTTTTGTATACATTATTATTATTATTATTATTATTATTATTATTATTGTTATTATTATTATTGTTATTATTATTATTATTATTATTATTATTGTTATTATTATTATTATTGTTATTATTATTATTATTATTATTATTATTATTATTATTATTATAAAGAGCATCAGGGTAAAATGGTCATTTTGCATCAGTCAGTACATTCACTCAGATGTACAATCAAACAGCACAGTTTCTTACTCACTCAGAACTTATTACTCAGACAGACCTTTCTCAATCAGCAATTTCTCAGTCAGCAACTATCAAACGACCCCTTAGTCTTGTCCCGTTACATAAACCTTCTTTTTGGTTGATGTTCCTTAATAGCATGATGGGAGTATTAAAATTCTAATTTATTAAGATATTCTTGTGGATATAACGTGTCTAATTCGATTGTGTCTTGTGTATGCGAGATGAACTGTTATACACAATTTGATGACCTGTATTCTTCAGTGAGATGAAAGCATTCACCTTATATGCAGTTTCATTTTTCGGACAAATAATGGCTCTATCTGATAAATTTTCAGGTGATGGGTTTGCCAATATTTCACTTCCATATACAAAATCTATAAGTGATTGAAGTCCTTTCGTTGTGTCAATGATAAATTTGGGAGGTATATCTATAACTTTTGTGTTTTCTGGATCGGTTGCATCTGGAACACCAATATTTCCATTTCCAATATCAAGGAGCCAAGAAGCAAATTCAGATAACGAATAAGAAGGAATAGTTGTATTATCTGCATTAGATAGACGCATATTGTAGTGTAACTTGTAAACGGTAAAATGAGGCCATAAATATGCGTTTGGTAAAGTTAGGGCCATTATTTGTGAATTTGTGCTTTTTGGTTGAACGGGAAGTGTTTGATGGAAATCACTGCCTAACAGCATTGACATTCCACCAAAATGACATTTGTTATTTTCGAGTACATCTTTCAACGATCGATCCAAAGATTCAAATCATCGCCGATCACTCATTGGAGCTTCATCCCATATAATCATTGAAGTCTTTTTCAACAGCTCCGCAAGTTGGGTATTCTTTTTAATATTGCAACATGATCTATCAGTAAGTTCTGTTGGGATTATGAATCTAGAATGTGTAGTGCGTCCTGATGGTAGTAGTAGGGATGCGATACCTGAGGCTGCGACAGCTAGCACTATTTTTCCTATAGATCTGAAGTATGACAGTATGGTAGTCCATAGATATGTTTTCCCGGTGCCACCGTGTCCATATACAAACAAAAGTAGTTGTTTTTGGTTTTGTTCAGCATTTACAATATCCTCATATATTCTAAGTTGGTCTAGATTTAGCTGTAAAACCATAGATGCATGCTGAGAAGCTAGTGATTGTTTGTCATAGTTTGTTTCTTCAAGGAGGAGTCGATTTCTAAGTACAACAAGGAGTGACGGTGAAGGCAGAGGTAAGCCAAAATCTGCAAGGGATCTAGATGGTGTAGATGCAAGTAACAATTTCTGAATTTCCATAAGTATTTGTTGTTCTACAATGTCATCGTGTAAATTTAACTCGGGAGTAGGTGACTCTAAAGTTAATTCACGATGAATGTCATCCCCCATTTTGGATTTTGCAGATTCCCATAAGAGAAATGGACTACCTACATCACAAAATAGAACAAATGGCAAAAAAGAGACCGCAGTTCACTTGCGGTAGCCCAAGAAGATGCCTCAGTAAAAGCTGCTAACCATTCCCAATCATCACCGGTTAAACCCATAGCCTCACAAGCCGCACGAAAAGTAGAGTGTGTAATTCTGTGTACAGTACGAATATCATCATATTATATGCACCCTTTCTGGTGACATAATAGAATCCTAAGGTAAAACAACTCTCCAACTGTTGGGTGCACATATGCGAGTCTCCCAATTGATGTACTATTTGCTTTAAATCTGTGGCTCCATCTTTTAGCTGAGGCATTCCAACGGAATTTGGTAGGATAACTAAATATGTTAAATTGACCCCTCGAATATCTATGTGGTTGTTGTACATCCATTCTGTTAATGTTGTTACAGCAAAAGTAGGATTGTTGACCACCAAGCTTAGTTGTGTATTCCCATTAAAAATAGTTGTCTGCATACCATCCAAATGAACAGCTAAAACTTGCATAGCTGGATCACGTTCATGAATTGGAAAGTTTAAAATTTTGGAAGAAGCAATGTCAACAGTGTTAATTTCATTGACAAAAGACAAATTGCTGGAAGAAGCAATGTCAACAGTCAATTCAGATCGTTGTAGGACAAACCGGACACGATCAACACCCTTTGAAACATACTTGAATAGATACTTTATCATCATATTCCAGCCACAATGTTCAACGTTTATATGTGCATCAAAACGGGTGTATAATCACTTATTATAGGGTACCACGTATCCATTATCAACTTTTATGCCATTTTGGAGTACATGACATACCCCAGCACGTCACCTATAATGAACATATCCGTTATCATCAAATGTTGTAGAAGAAGTGAAGGCTTTTGGAAAACGCTTACTACACTCATTATCTCGCATACATGGAGCACCCATATTTAACAGACCACAAGGACCATGTAACATGCAGGTGGTTACTGTCCGATATAATGCAACCTCGGTTGTAAAGACCGGGCAATTTTGCTGTAATATATTTGTCAACATCTGTGGGTTCATATATTTTAAACAGAGATGCAACCCAAAGAAGCAAATGACAATGGGGAAGACCCCGCTTCTGAAATTCTATAGTGTAAAGATCTGGAAACAAATAGTAATAATTTGGAAATATATATTAAACAATGACATTATTCAAGAGCAAATTATATAAAAATGCCAGTAAAGATGAACAACTTACGCGCATCAACATCACCGAAAGTTTTGTCTTCCTTGAGGAAGTCAACTAAAGCATCAACTTTAATTCGGAAAACTCGAGCAATAATGTCAGGTCTATCTTGAATATTACCTTGACCAATAGTACTTGTATATCGCCTATATTCAGGCCACTTTACATTACAGGTAAAAGTAACGAAGTATTGCGGTTTACCATGAACCCTACATATTGCCAACGCATCCTGATAATGCTTATACATGTATCTAGGTCCTCCTACGAATGATGCGGGGAGAAACACACGCCTTCCTATGACCTGTGTATCAGTATCACCTCTAGACAAAGCATCATAAATGCCAGTAACATACTCAGAACAAAGTTGTTGCTGATGATGTTCAATGTAATCCAGCCTTGACTGTTCAATACATGTATAAGCATCAACTAAATACTGCTGAAATAGGCGCCGACCACGTAATAAAAGCGAGTAAACACCTAAACGATCATGAATCTGATAGCTGTAGAACATATTATTTTTCAGGTTCTTATCCCGACCAGAAGATTGATCGTGTATCTGTAATTGCGGAGACCAACCTGCTTCATCGTACAGAAATAATAGGGGATACATCAAAGGCATGTAACTTGGATGTAATTTACTTATACGTTGAGGTAAACCTATCTTTGAGTATATGACAACATCATAGGAGGCGCCACCAACATCATCTCCACAAACGATGCAACCCAAAGTACCGGCAGCCGGGGGACCATATCTCTTATCAGGAACAGTGTTAAATAGACGAACAGCATACGAATCCAAACTCATAGACGGCGAAATTTCTTTTGCTGTCTTAAAAGTACGCACATATTCGTTGTTTGCAGTTAACATGTCACTCAGACAAGCGACAATATCTGCAGATAAAACCACATTGTTGTCTTCACGAAAAGCACAAATTCGATTAACAACTTCATTCTCAGTATCACACATATATAACTGTAAAAAACGTGGGGGGCCACCATCTTGTGGACAAAGAGACCCAATCCAATGGGAAATCTGACCAGATACCTTGAAAACGTATGGAGCATGACTTTTATTAATTTCTTCATCCACCTTTGCACCAAAAGACGTCATAGAAAACATGGAATTATATGCTCTGACATTGCGCATAAAACTATCATCTTCAAAAAACCGAGACAACACATTTGGCGGAGTAATAGGATTTGGAAGAACAACATCACCCGATCGACAACAATGAGTATAACGTGGGTGATTAACTCGAGAATATCGAAGAACTCTTTCAGTAAACCAAAATAAAGCACCACAGAATTCGCATACACAGGAGCAATCACCACAATCATAATAAACAGGTAGTACATCAACATCAATGGGAAATGAAATCCTCCTTGAGTGACCTGATGTCGACGCCACAGAGGTAGAACTTCTTTTCCGTTTGTTAGAAGACATTAACGTAAAAGGCAATACTCATGTAGAAGGAGACAGAAGAAACAGTGATACAAAGAAAAAAAAAACTATATTACGGAAACAACAATAAGTAGAATAATTCAAATCGTGCAGAACAAAATTTATTGTATACAAAAACAGGGAAAAACACCCAAAAGGAAAAGGGTAAAAACATACCTTAGTCAATGCTAAATGCCTTCACTCTTTTATTGAATAATCCAGGAAGATGATTCAATCCTTAGTTATGAAGCTGATTTGCAATCAAAATTCTATTGGATTATTATTGTTATTGTTATTGTTATTGTTATTGTTATTGTTATTGTTATTGTTATTGTTATTATTATATAAAAGATCAGATCCTACTTCTTGACAATATATGCAAGCTAAAAAAAGATATTCAATTAATTTTAAAATCTCACCACCAAAAATCTCAAACAACAAAATTAGGTCTTTGCATGAAGCCCTTAATATAAAGTGTTATTCAGTAACATGCAAAGGGTTGAAATTTGAAAATCAGTGAAAATCTCATCACTTGTGATTCCATTAACTTTCCATTTTGTAAATGATTTGTAATATTTTGATTTTATATAGATCGAAGTTTCAATCAAAACTCTTCATAAATTCTATTATGAGTAACATCAAAATTCTCTCTTAGGGATTTGACTATTTTCTCATGATTTTGACCAAATAAAGTTTGACCAGTCAAACCAAACCATTTCAAAAATTCTTTCAGGTAAGGCCTGGGTCTGGTCGGCATAAGACTCGGTTGTGGTTCCCATTCTACCCTTCAATTGAACGACCAATCTTCTTAGTTTGCTTATGGTGGTGGGGTCCAACATAAGAACAATTTGTTGTGGGTGTTATTAGTGAGGAGTTGTATGTGCATCTTAAATGGTGGTATGTGGAGAGGATTATACAGTGCTACATGTCGAATTGTTGCTTTTGCCTTTTTTGATTACTTATTGGGTCCTCAACCTTACATGTTGTGATATTAGTGTTTATTATAATGCAATTAGTGAAGGATGGAATTGTTAATTCCAATGAAGTGGACCATTCTATTTATTCTCTGATTCCATTATACAATTGCAAAAGGTTGGAATTGTAGTTCAGTAAAACCCATAATTTGTTTTTGCTGTTTAGGTTTGTAATTGTTGTTTACTTTAATATGAAATTAAACCTTTTCATCGGCTGGTATTACGAAGTTGTAATTGCTAATTGTTCATATACACTGGAAGACTTTGATATCTTATGCGAGTCATTGAAGAAGAAATTCTGATTATTCCTTTTACAGGTTGAGGAAAACAGCGGGAGATGAAGATCAAAAAGATGTTTAATATTTAGGAAAAAGAAGATGAAGATAAAAAAATGCATGAACAGGGAGATGAAGTTGAAAAGGATGCGTAATATCCAGAAGAAAGAAGATGAATATAAAAAAAAATGCATATAATCTATTTGGAAAATCACACTGAACAATCTTATTTTTCTATTCAAACAATGCATTCAAGGATCCATTAGAAGGAAATGAAGATTATAAAAAGCAATATAAATCTGAGATGGAATGACCAAAAACAGTAGATATAGGAACATCCTTACCGGTTGTACTTAGACATAGAGTCTGTAAACGCAATCTTCAACGAAGGGGTTACAGATAGCAAGACGAAGAGAATCAAGGATACGATGAGAACGTAGGGTTTACAGATAGCAAGAGAATGAGAATCAATGATACGATGAGAATCAATGATAGCAAGAGAATGAGAATCAATGGTCGTAATTTTTTTGGGGAAGAAACCGGAATTTGGTTGGTTACAGGAGAAGGGAATCAATGAGTGGGTCGGATTCAGTCGGTAGTCGGATTCGAAAGCATTGATGGGTGGTTCTTTCTGGATTGCTGATCGTAATTTTTTGGGGAAGAAACCGGAATTTGGTTGGTTACAGTAGAATGGAATCAATGGGTGGGTCGGATTCAGTAGGTAGTCGGATTCAATGGATGGATCTGATTCAGTTGGTAGTCGGATTCAAAAGCATTGATGGGTGGTTCGGATTTAATATATTTAGATAGCAGAGGCCACAAGCCACGGCTTTTAATATAGTATATAATACATATCAGTTAAGTACTCTAAATTCTCTATCCATGTCAATGATTTTCACTCCTCATTGCATCTTCATGTCGCTCGAGCCTAAAATCGATAATTTCAAAAAGATAAAAAAATAATATTAAAGTGAACAAAAGAAATTACTTTTTTAGGAATGTGATTCAAAAATTAAGCATTAGCATTAATAAAATCTTCACTTAGCCAATAAGAAACTTCTTTATTTAGGAATTTGATTAAAGGGTGTCCTATACAAAAACACATTTATTTTAGCCACTGTTTGGCACATACTACAGGCATAATACACAACATAATGCATAAACATTTATTCATAATTTTATTTTTTAGCTTCAAAAAAAAATTATCCATATAAAACTGCAAGTATTGCATTCGAGCCTATTTGGCATTGTACATTGGAAAAACATATATATTTATGGGAATGTACTTTCAACTCTTTTTTAATTGGAAACATTTTAAATTTTTTTACCCAAATACAATAGTGGAAATTTCTCTCTAATTTAATGACATTAATATAGTTGATATATTTTTCATAGTGTAGTACTGTAACTTGAAAAATGAAAGGGAGATGCTATTTTTTGATGACATTGATATAATGGATATAATTGACGACATTGTTATAAAATTACCAACATACACATACTTAAGTATTGTTTTATATAATAAATCAACCTCTATAAGCAAATTTTCTGTCAAACTGTTCAATAAATGTATGAACAATATACTTTACTTTTTTGTTTTTCACAAAATAGAAATAAATTATTTGCCTAACCTATGCCAACCATATTTTAATACAAATTGAGAGCAGTCTTATTGATTCACAAAGGATAGAGAACAATTGTCATGCACATTTCTAGACTGTGAACATTTGAAAGTCTGTAAGCCAATCCTGCAAAAGAGGTCTGCAAATAAAAAATAAATTAAGAAAAAATGGAACATAAATAGAGAATAACAGTTAGAAATCCTCTTTTCACCATTTTCATAGGTAGACTTGGTTCTGGATATTAAACTTGTTAAGGAACAATAGAAAGTATAGGCGAGTTGTTTCTAATTCCAAACATATATCAAAAGTAGTTACAAAAAAAAGAGAAAGGGTTTTAGTTTTGCTGGAATTGAGTTTAAAGAATTCATGAGGGTAAAGGTCAACCAATAAAATCGTAGTATTTCTGATTGACTTCATGGACATCTCCATTCAATTTTGGAAAGAAATCACATTAAGGATCTGTTTGTGATTTTGTCAAAAAAAAAAAAAAGGATATCAACATTCTCCTTAATCGTTGTTGACAGAATCACTTGTTTCTATACATGGTTTCTTTAAATCAAAATCATAAAAAACAATATTCTTGAAGTTCTTGGATATAGAAATGCTACCTTTCTAACTTCACCCTTCTGGATACTGATTTTACTCAGAGAGATCAATCCAATAAGAAGCACAACAATCTAAATAAGTCATACCTTTATGTAAAACCAATTAATGGATAATCTACAACTCACAAAAATGAGGAGGACCATACAGTAAAGGGTAAATCAACATTCACGGTTAAATTTGCACCCCCCCCCCCCCAACTTTCACTCTACAAAGTAGATGTAGACATAATTAATATCATATGCATACTTACATAAATCGAAGATATTACAAAGTTTAATCCAATCACCATTACCTTGAAAGGGGTTTAGGGTTCATGAATCTTTACGATGTGAAATTTTAGGGTTGATGTGAGAAAAACGATTTCGGAAATGAAATAGTAGATATAAGAAAAAAGATTGATTGCAAATGTATTAGAAATTCAAATAAGTACCTGATTAATTTCCTGATTTGTTCGGATAACAATCAGTTGCATTGTGGATTCCTAAAAATCAGGAACAAAATTGAAGTGAAGAGAGGAAGGAATGAGCGGGAATTAAAGGAAAGGGTTTAGCAGAAGGTGTCATGTGTCAATGTGTCAAGGTAGATGCATAGAAAAAAGTCATGTGGCATCTATAGGAGTCTTTTATTAGGATTAGATTATATATTACGTTTGTATTTTTATTTAGTTACACTAATTTTTAATTCGTATTATTAATTTTATTTTAATTGATGTTTTAAATTTAATTTTAATTATTTTATAATTTCATTGTTTACTTGTTTTTTAACCATTTTTTCCAAAACTAGTTGGAAACCCGCAGCAAATACCTAAAAGTCGATAGTTGAAAGTTATACTTTTTTTATATATGATTATTTGGCCAGAGTAGTTTTGATGTTTCGAAAACTTGTAAATTTACTTAATAACAAAAAGGGCAACAAATATGATGAAAATATTGTTAGTAATGATTAAAAGATTTGTTATTTCAATATTGTAAGCGTCTTTGATAGCGCCTTGCATACTCCCAAACTTATACCCACCTAACCTTCACTCGTACACATATCTACTACAACCTCAGCCACACTTATCATTAATTACATGTACACCCACCCTAAACAATGTACCCATATCTTCCTAGGCACATCCACCAAAACCTATACTCGTTTTAATGAGGGAATCCACAAGTTGACCGTTGAATGAGACGGGGATGAGGAATCCCCTAATAAAAAAATAGAGATGGGTTAGGTCATACCCACCGCTACATACAAACCCACGCCACCACCCTAAATCACCCGACCCTAGCAAAAACTACTACATCCTCCCACACCCCCTTATACCTATACTCACCCTCAATCTTAATCACCACATCCACCCACTACTACACACCCACCCATACCTAATGACACCTACCTCTTATGTTTACTTATTCACATATGATTTATATAGATTTGCAGGGGTGAGTGGGCGCTGGTAGGTGGGGGGGGGTAGTTATTTGGGGTGGCAATGGGTGATAGATGATGGTGGGTGTTAGTGATGAGTAGTAGGTGATATA